GGAAGAGTTAACTGATACAGAATTAATAAAAACTGTTTGTAACAATGGCGATGAGACAGCTTTAGGTGATGCTAGTGACAATGAGACAGAAATCTCTGCAAAAATATTACATTCTCAGGCGTTGAATTACGTCGAACAACAAGAAAATGCGACAGCAGCTAATTTGCTACTTATCAAACGTTGGAGGGATATTGCTGCCAACAATAGGAACAACTCACAACATGTACAGTTGAAAATTACTTCCTTTGTTACTAAATCCTCGTAAATATGTATGTTCGTATCGACATGTTTATATTTTGCGTAACTTTATATAGGTATATACTCACTTAACACACGCATTTACTTTTTTCAATAAAAGCATTATGAGTCTAAATGTTTATTTCCATTTTATACGAAATTTCGATTATCCGATAGCACTTGGGTCCACATTATTTCGGATAATCGGGGTTCTACTGTACAAGCAAACTTATAATACAAATTAAACTGCGTCCCTTCCATTGTTATGGGTTGAGCCTATGTTGAAACCATTTGTGCTGTTTGTGGTTTTAGAACTATTTTCAGTTTTTTCAAGGTATAAATTAACAATACCTATTGCGAGATCACATATTTACATCATCTTAAAGTATGTAGGGAAGTGGTAGGTTCATGGAGTGTCTAAGAGTGGTGATCCATCGAAATACTCGTTTTCATTGTTTCACATGATTACTTCAATGGACGTAATACAGTTGGTCCCCTCTACCGGTTTTTTATGTACCTCATGATACGCAATTTATGTTAGCAGTCCTCTCGCTGTAACACTTGCCTGTATAGGATTTCACACTATTTGGGAGCTCTGTATTTTTTAGTGATTCAGTTACCATTGTTGACACAGAGCTCAACAATACCAAAACTGATACATCACACTATACATGGTGTTACAAGAGTGTTGTTGTATTTTCATTATTCTGAATTTTGGCTTGCTCAGTTAACCTGTACAAAAAAATGACAGGTCGAAAGTTTTGAAAGGCCCTATAACATATGTCCTAAAAGTTTTGGCACAAAATTCATTGGCTTTAATTTTAACAAACACAAACTAATACAAGTTGCCTTTGGAAATAATAGTTTGTTTACTTACGTAACTGTCAGCTGACTTTTATTTATTTTGAAGTTTTAAAATGTCGTATAAATAAGTAATAAGAAAAAGTATCTACAAGTTGGTTGGGCGGGCACCCAAAGCTGAAATCTGTTGAATATTCTAGAATGAAAACATTTTACGCGGAACCATTTATCGAACAATAGCGGAATGAGAGCAGGGAATACCATGTCTGGATCTCCCAAAAAGTGGAAGACCACGGGTACTTACTAGACAGAGGTCAGAGAGATTGGCGAGAAGAACAAAAAATCAGGTTGGAATGGCAACAAGGAGACTGGCTCCTCAATACAGATCTTCTAAGAGTATGATATCGTTAGAATTGAGGAGAAATGGTCTTAAATATCGGAAGAGACTTAAGTGGCCCGAATACTCTCAAAAGCAACTCCTTCGTATACCAAGATCATAATTTTAAATGACGAAAAGTATTTCAGTTCTGAAATGAAGGGAAACGACGGATTTTACACGGACTATGGAGGAATGCCCTGACAACGTTAGATACAAACATAAAGCGAAATTTGCAGATAGAATCCTTGTCTGGTGCGAAATTTCTAACAGGGATGTAACCCAACCTTTTGTGGGAAGAGGGAGGGATGAAGCTTTGAATAGTCAGATCTATATTGATAGCTGCCTTTCCAAATTGGTAATGACCAAATCATGTTTTGGCCAGACCTTGCATCATGCCTTTATTCAAGAGATACCCAAAACTGGCTCCGACAACTTAACATACCTTTTGTTCCCAAAAACGATGATCCTCCAACCTTACCGCAGGCGCGCCTAATAGAGGGTTTTTGGGCTTTACTGTCTATGAAGGTTTGTTATGGAGGCTGGAAAGCCCAAGATGAAGAACAACTAAGTCGGTGAATTTAGGAAAAACTGAGATAAATTGATGTGAATTCCGTCCAGGACATCATGAGGGACATTCAAAGAAAGTTGAGTCTGGTAGAGCGGAATGGGCCACTCCACATAATTCGATAGTATAGTTTAGTTAAGGCATTGGATTGTAATTTATGATAACTAGTGTTTAAATAAATTTTTTAATTAAAAAAAACGCGTTAAATATTTTGTGCCAAAACTATTAGGACATACTTTATACTCCTTTATTTTGACTTTGCAATTATCTCTATAATTTAAGTGAGAACAAAACAAATATTGCTACATAAATTGTTGCATGAAACTGAGTGCCCAATCCACTTGATAACATTCAGCAATTAAACGGTTTTCCAATTTTGTAATGTCAGAATCGATAAGCCAACCATTCTCCAATTGTTCGATTTTCCAGAATAAATAGCATCCGTTACCATGCTAAGACTGCGGAACGAATAAGAGGCAAATTAGTTTTATATAGGCAGATTTCTTTACATCCTCGAAGTTCTTGCCTTTATTGTATAAGAATTGAAAGACTTTATTTTTAATTGAGTATCGGATCCGGCACAAAGCTTTTCACGTAACTGAGAGCATTACTGGAATAATGAACTTTCCAGACTTGTTGATATGTGTTTCAATTATTTTGTACGCCAACGATAAAAGCCATCAATACAGAGAGACTTCGGCTTTTCGTTCAAACAACATTATTTTGAAACCGATCAACAACTAAAACAGAAATAGATATTTTTTACATCCATGTGAGTTGTAAGCTAGTAGGTAGGATTTGACTTAAATATCATTGTTTTGTGCCGTTCTCCATGAAACATCGCTCTTATAGTTGCCGTGGGTATTACTAATTGCAACCATGTATTCCAAGTGCGAATGGTAAACTATTTTCCGAAAAACAACGGATGCCGCGGACGCTATACAAGACCAGCTTTGTATTAAAATATACCGAATTAGCATATCGTTAGCTAGCTCTGTGTTATCTTGGCTAACTGGGGCTACTATGCAAATTGTGAAGGCTCGCAAGCGCGCTAATTATTACGGAAATGTAATTAGGAGGAAGAGTGAAATATAAAAGCCGCCTGCTGCAAAAGAATCCTGAATAAGCAGAAATCTGTTTTATGGAAGTGACTTGATAGGGCTGGAAAAAGAAAAATTATACGAAAATACAGCGTTTCCAAGGCAAAAGAGGTTATGGTAACGAATGCAAAGCCTCGTTCAATTAGTCAAAATTAGCTTAGAAATAAGTAACTATTAAAATTTTGTTATGATTTGTTGCTGCAATATCTAAGACCAACAAAGTTTTGTGATTTTCAAGAGTATCCAATGTTTATTTCAAAAATAATTCGCTGCAAATTTATATCGAAACACTACATCTTTTCGTTTTGTAGGCGTCAACGAGCGTAAATACATGTTTTTCGTCTTGTTAACAAAAACATACTCAATTACCTCACTCGGTCTTCTCATGCATTGACAGATATCATTTTCAAAGTACATCCGCACACAAATTTAAAGTATAGCTATATTTTGTACAGGAATTGTAAAATGGATACCAACAATTGTACTTTTTCTACTCCGCAAATTGCTGCTATAGTTAACTGAATGCGATTTTTGTCACAGATCAAGGGATATATATTAGGGAAGTGAGAATGACCAAAGAGGCTACAGACATTGCACTATTCTAGGACACATCTATGCTATTATTTTCGTTTATCACTACATTTCGGAGTACCCCTTATGCTTGTTCTCTCTATTGTTTGTTCTCAGTTTTTGAAAACTATTTTCCTTTTTTGCAAAGAGCGACTTCTTCTAAATGAACAGTTTGCCGAGCTAACTGAAATGTCGGTCCTGATCTTATTTTTATTCCCTATTCTGCACAACCCACCTTACAGTTTGACTAAATTATTCCACATATAAAACTTCAGCTTATAATGGAAACATTTTTGACTATTTTCGTAAGGAATACAGTTTTTGAACAATCAGAGACGTCTAAAGCCTTGTAAATTGGGGAATTGTTGCTCATCGTAACGGAGCCAGTGACCGATTCCTGAGATTGGCACTCATGTAGGAAATCTGTTGCTGATACAATTTTACTGTGAAATATTCAGATTCAGATTTAAGAACGTCCCTGCTTTTGCGAAATTTTGGCTTCTTCTACCACGGACTAGAACAATTTTTTTCTGTTAGGTCATGTGGATCAGATAGCCAGTTTATTTAGCTTCAATATCTTGTTTTTAAATACTCGATGAGATCATTTGGCGCCAAGACTTGAATGAAAAAGGATTACTTTGTTATCGACCACTGATATCTCGGTAACCAGTTGTCGCACAGAGAATGTAAGGATATTTCCGCAAACTGGAATAAAGCACCTATAAAATTTGATTGCAACCTTTGTTGTCATTTTTTGTATTTTCTCAATGTTGGTTTTGAAAAGGTTAAAAAAGATACTTTTTGCCTTCTTTTGGAAAAGCGACCGCATTTTTGGGACTACTAATGAGAAGGCTCTTTCATACCTCAATGCTCCCCTAATGGCCTTGCACTGCGGCAGATCGATCCATTGTACTGTTTGTCGAGACCGGCAAACTCCTAAATCCGCCTTTGAGACCCCCCAAAAAGTATTTTTTAGATCCACCCCTAGACAGTATTTTTGTTTTTAATATTCCATGAAATACGAGATGACATTTTACCAATTGCCTTATTTAGAATTAAAGGTGTTACATATATCCAAAACTTGCTCCTAAAAGTTGTCTATCAAAAACCTGAGAACTAGAACCTTGAAGCTTCAAAATACTTTTCTTAGAGTTTAGACACGGCCATTTTTTACCGAAACACAGCAGACGCCACCGAAAAATTTCGACTTTTTTCTTGTTCCTTTACCATGAGCCGTACGAGGATGCTGGAATCATAGTAAAGTTTCCTTCCTCATTTGCAGTTTCTGTCGTTAACTAGTTCAAACTTATAGTTGCGTCATACGAGTAGTAGTCAAGGGTTAAGTTACCTGCAAGGCAGTATCAGATTTCGGAGGTAGTAACGTCAGCGGCAGACTTGATGTTGTCGTCGGAGTTGTGGTTGATGTAGTAGTTGTAGGCACAGGCGGTGGAGCTAGAATGTGGACATAAGCCGGTTTCTCCTTCGTTTGCGGGCGAACGAAACCTGAAGAGACAAACGTGAATTAACAAAGATGTAGTTTATTAGACAAAACATTCTTTTCATAATGAGTCGGCTGGCGCAGCTTGATTTTTGATAAACTGCACAGCACTGGCTGTAGGCACTGCTCAGCATGGTTCCATCACTGCCTATTTCTTTATCTTACTAAATATTGGCGTTGGACTGGCTTGAGCCAATATGAAGTGGAGGAGACCTTTAAGCGGGGTCCGCAGTATATTGGGGTTAGGAAGTTTCAATCTTTCAGGTCTCTGTTGGTACTAAATCGTCACATTCCACCCGTAGGACCCTAATCTAACTTAGCCAATAACTTCCGTTTTTATAGAGCTAAGAATATCACCCGCGAAAGGTGTGGCTTTTAACTTTATGAAAACTGAAATTGTTCGTAAAACCTGTATGTTGTCTCCTAGCTAATTGGGCTTTACGACCCGATCCGACAGATTACACTATTTATCAAAAGAAGTTTGAAACCCAAATTTTTTCTAACCTCAGTATTCTAAGAAACTTGCGTTAAGGACAAGTAGGTACGTAATTTACTTGGTGAAGTTTGTTCAGAGAGCTTAAGACCAGATGTGAAAGACAATTCTCAGAGTTAGTAACTGTCATTTTCACTCTGCAGTAAACGTAGCCAAAAGAGAGACCGATGAATTGAACGCTTGGGTAAATAAGCTGTGATATAAATGTTACCGTACCATCATAGTACTGTTCGTCCTCTTCTAAGAAATGGTGATGCCTCATGGACACGTCATCATCCTCTCTAGGTCGATGCAACTGTGGTATTAGGTTCAACCACAATGACATCTTGTGGCCTCTGTAATGATCCTTCTTCACTGGACGGCTAGCTAAAAATTATAGATGTCTACATTATATTTTGTCAGCGTGCCCTTGTCCACTGACAGAAAAATTATGTAACGACTCATGGCAAGCACTTTTTCATTAGCGCGTCTTTAGCATCGATTTAAATACAGGGTGACAGGTAAATAGGTGTAAAACATTTTAGGAGGTGATAGTACAGCCGCTTTGCTATCGAAATTAGTATACGTACAATACCATACTCTATACTCAAAGGTTGAAAAGTTATTGAAGACTTAGGATTTTTTTAAAAACAATCCATATTTCAGAGTAAAAAAGTCGGGAGAGAAAAAAGTTGGCGATTAAACATTTGTTTTTTGTGGTTTTGGGTTATTATTTCAATAATTAACTATTATAAATTAAAAAGATTCGAAAACAATACAAAACAACGTATTTATTTTCATTCAAAAATGTTTAACTAAGAAAAACAAATAACGTTTTACAGTAAGTAAGGTGTTTTACAAAAAAATCAGTATACAAAAAAATGTACAAACAATTTAAATAATATCCTTGTTTCATAAGGAATCCATGATAAGTGCACAAAAACTGTGTGAAACTAAACATAATGTATTGTAAGGGAGTAAATTTACCAATGGCTTTTTGTGAAAATAATGTAACTGTAAGCTATGGGATAGTTATTATTTTAAACTACGGTTAAGTTACACGATTAGATTATTTACACAGTTGTAATTGTACTACAGAATAATAAAAACTGACTAAAAGTTACTACAATTGGTAAGTAAAATACAATAATGAAATGAAGGTAAAATTCATTGCAATTGTTGTTCGAACTGACGCCCGCCGTTATGCAAGCCCGTAGTCTTTTTCTCATGTTGGTACGCGTGACGCGGCCAGTTAGTTGTCCTCTCATAGTGTCAGCAGCAGCAATAATTCTTTCTTTCAACTGTGCAAGAGTGTCTATGGGCTCAGCGTACACCAGTGACTTCATGTGCCTCCATAAATAATAGGCACACGGTGTTAAATCTGGGCTCCTCGCTGGCCACGGTGTCGGTCCACCTCGGCCAATCCAGCGACAAGGATATTTCTCGTCCAGCCACTGTCTAACACCCAGACAGAAATGCGCGGGACAGCCATGGTGTTGGTAGATCATCTGCATCCTGATATTCAGAGGCAGGTCTTCGAGATACCCCCAGAGTTCGGATCTCAAAAAGTTTTCATAGGATTCGCCATTCAGGTTGTCAGGCAAAAAAACTGGTCCAATTAGATACGTATGAATGATTCCCATCCACACGTTTGCCGAAAATCTTCTTTGATGGGCTCTTGGCTTTGCCATGTGGGGATTTGCCTCTCGAGGGGCCCAATAATGTAAGTTGTGATAAGTTGTTGTCCCCTCTCTGTCAAACTTAGACTCGTCAGTCCACAATATTTTAGTTAAATAGTCGTTTTCTTCTTGATCCCAATGAAGCATGTATCGACAAAAATCAATTCTTCTTGCGGGATCTCCTTCTTCTAATAGTTGAACCGGTGTGTAATGGAAAGGGTAAAGTCTCGCCGAATGCAAAACGAACCAAACTTTCCACTGAGTTAAACCAAGCTGCTTTGCTATAACTCGTGTAGATGTCGTCGGGTCTCTGCCGTAGCATTCCAGTATTGCCTCTCGATCTTCATCGTCAAACAACCCAGGTCTACCAGCATCATGACGTCTCTCATGAACCTGTCCACTTTCCTTGACGCGTTGGTACACAGAAGCAAATACTCGATGACTCGGTATTCGCCGATTCGGAAAACGGTTTTCGTATTCTCGCCTGGCTTCGATGGAATTTCCATCACTTAAACCATAACAAAACAGAATATCAGCGTATTCTTCGTTACAGTAACTCGCCATTATTAAAACTGATCAAAAAAGTAAAAGTACGTCCTACCGCGTTTAAGGTTGATATTCTACTAACTAACCTAAGCGTTAGTTCCCTTTCCTTGATCCGTGAGCTGTGTCAATTCATAACACACGCAGAGCTTGCTTCCGAGGAGGGACGACAGATTCCGAATACTTAAACCCGAATAACGGCACAAGGCACAAAAAATAACAAAAAGGGTCGAACCATGAAAGGCTCGGTTTACCTGTTCAATGAAATGCGCTTAGCGGTCCTTTCTAGTAAAGTAATATTGTTTTGTTAAATGGTTTACTTACTGATATGTTATTATACCATTTTAGAAACCTAATGAAACGAGGAAGTTTTTGCAGTTATTTGTACATTTTCTTTATTATGATTTTTTTGAAAAAAAGACTTCCTAATGTGAAAGTGGAAAATAAAAATTTTCATTTAACATCTAAATGAAAATAAATACGTTTTCAGTAGTGCTTTCATATGTTTTTTAATTTATGAGAATTATTTATTTAAATAATATCCTGAAACCACCAAAAAAAGAATGTTTAATCACCAACTTTTTTTATCTCAACTATTTTGCTCTGTAATCTGGGTTGTTTTTTTAAAAAAATTAAATCTTCCATAACTTTTTAACCTTTGAATATAGGCTATGGTATTATATACTAATTTTGATATCACCTCCTAAAATGTTTTACACCTATTTACCTGTCACCCTGTATATATATTGTGGGAATTTGAAAGAAAAAACATATTGGTGCAAAGTGTGTGTGTTAACATTTTATTTGTTTTTTTTGTAAAAATAGCTACAAATGATCTGTTTTGTTTGATGCTGATTGCATCTTGTCTATAGCCAGTATCGAAAACCCTCTGTATAATGCAGTGGCCTTTTGAAAGTGCGAAATCTGATTTCCCATACAAATGCGAAAACGGTTTATTGATTTATTTGATCAAAGCAACGGTATTAGTAATTAAGTGTTACCTACCTATTTCTAGGTAAAACTGGTTAATATTGTCATATGTATCCCAATAAGGTATCCCCATGTTGTAACTGCTTCGTTCTTGGACAAAATTTGCTTGATATGGTTGGACAGTATTCGGATCCCTGGTAAAAAAATAATTCAGTAACTAAATGTGTAACATACTCGTATTATTAAACAATAGGACTGATAAGTTTTGAGTATGTTCTTAGTCAATTTAGATATACAGTGCTTTTTTGACAGGTCCTTTCTTACTTATTCTTGGATCGGGTCAAGTTGGGAAGCCAAAATTCCGGATGATGAAATTGAAACATAAATACGAGAAACATCATCGTGCCATATGGTAACATTTTTTAGATGTAATGGAGAATCATGTGATACCTTCCTTTGAAGCCCCCTAGGGGTTCTTTACAACACTGAAATATAAAGTCACTCTGTTTCAAAATGGCGGACCAGCAGGCTGTCGAAGTTAAGCATTTTTATACTACTGGGTCGTTTATACTCGGCAACTAATCTGAAACTTCATAGAATGACATATCAAACTTCTTCTCAGGCTTCTTTTTTTGGAAGTGTCTATCTTAATGTGCAATAAAAAATGAGATATTTCGTTTACAAAAAATTGTCAATTTTTGACATTTTTCAATGCATTATCCCATATTTTATTGCATATTCTGATAGACCCCTCCAGAGAACATGAAGAGAAGTAACGTTTTTAAGCAAAAATTCGGATAATTTTCTAGTTCCCAAAGACTTGATATCGTTTGACAGAACGCCCCAATCTCCGTCATAGGCGATCGACCTCTTTCATATACAGCAATATCCATATCCAATAATTTCTGTACGGCCCAAGAGGACCTTCTTTATCGCTTGCTCGATATCTGGGCTTATACTTCTAAGTTGTTCTCTATGTGGATATCTAAGTAGTATCTAGTAGTTTACACAAATGCAATGGCACATGAGGGAGGTCTGAAATTTTGGATAACTGCTGGAAATCTATGAAGAAAAGATGGTTGCTATTTTGATTCGCCCTTATAGTAAGGAGCTTCGCAACATATAGCTTCACAAATGAACATTATCACCCCGTTACGTAACTTCGAATCGAAACAGTTTCTTAGGAGAGCTTCGTACCCCAGATGTTTAATTATTTAAGTGTTTATCTGAAAAACTGCCCATTTTGAAAAATCCATCTAGTTTTCCTGAAAATTCAGAATGATGGAGATAAAATACTTTTCTTAACAAAACGCCCTGCCAGTGATAGAACGTACACGCTGATGAAAGACCCCCTTTGCGAGAAATATCAAGCGCTCCGAGGAAATGCACTCGTCTCTCAGGCCTGGCAGAATTATGAAATGATCCCTTTGTGGACAAATTTAACGACCTATACGATGCGGCTCATAAAAGAGCCCATCTTAGCATAACCAAGGACATGCCTTTAATTTTCTTAAAATGTGGCGAGACTATTAAGCCGTCAATAAAACACTGCCTGAGGTAGCAGTAGGTTTGATGAGGACAGAAAGTAATGCTGCTAATTTCTCCGCTTCAGTACACTTGGCGATAAAAGGTGGAATGCCAACAGACGCTTGTAACTTTGAGGAGTTTTCAGAAACTACTGATCACCCGTTTCTTCCACGTCAGAGGTAGGAACTAGCACTGCCAATTTCAAGAGAATTGCTTTTCTCCTATAATTTGAGAAACAACTACTTACTTTGCCCCTCAGAAGTTAGATTTTTCTCTCTTAAGTAGAGAAGTATCTTTTGTTGCATCTCGTTGGTTTCAGTTTGTCAATTGCATAATAGAATGGTTGCTATTCAAAAATATGGATGTTTAAATGAGCGTCTTGAAGGTTTGGAAGTTACTAATAATTTTATTTTTCGAGCTTCAAATGTAAGATATTGTCTTATTCCAGATCTTTAGGTCCATCATTGATCCATGTTAATGTGAAGTTTGAACGGAAAGTACCGTTTGATTACAGACGTGATATATTTCCACTTTCATTAGAAGCGAATTTATACAAAACCTGATGAATATTTTGACGTTACCCCCAAAATGTGAAAGTTTAAGCTTGCGGTTTTTGTCGTAATTTGGAGCAAGTGTTGGCTTTCGCGCACATGCTCCGAATACTATTCAATGTCTGGAAAATCAGGAAGACCTTGCTCGCCCAACCTAACGTACTTTGTGACATGATAATCATCTATTTCCATTGAACTCCGTACCTCTGCTAATACATCTCCGGAAACTCGAAATCGGATCTTCCTAACTGTTCATTAATTGTTGCGCCACGGTCATCAAAATGAGACCCAAAATGGTCATGAGGCAGTATCAAACTAAGAGGAGTCATTCTGTGCACTACTCGGTTATACGCATTTCTACCTGGAGTATTTTTAGCTTAGGTTCTAATCGAGAAAGCATATCCATATTTGGGAATCCCTGAAGAGGCATTTAACGTACAGTTCCATTCGCTACTTAGACGTGTTTGATGTAGCTGCTCGTCTGGTGCACTGGAAGACATTTCTTTCCTACTATCGCGCTGGTAACACCTTAACCGCCATGCTGCCCCCTGTTGAATATTGTACTCTTATAGTTGCACAAGTGTACGGAATTACTGGCTAAAAAAGTTGCGTGAATGATTCATGAGGGCACAATGTTATTCAGGATTACATAACATCATGTTTTTTACGTGTTAACTACATTTTGAGACATATGTAGGAAATCCACTACCGTACTCAAGGCATCAACAAAATCGCACTTGGTGGCCAAAAAATAAAACGACGGATCTCTCGTATGTGACTGAGAGTGGATTCAAAAATGTCCCGTTGAATCCTAGCGATGGATCAAAAATGATCCTGAGTTAACTCCGAACCTTCAACAGAAAATTGGTGGCGCATCAAGCTGAAACATTATTCCAACTCTAATTTTGCTACAGACGTATACAATTTCTACTCCTAATTAGAATGGCATAAAAACGTCATTTCTGAAGTGTACGACGTAAAAAATAGATATGGTTTTGATTCCCTCTCGAGTATTCCAAGTACGTTGTAGTCTAAAGATTTTTTGGGAGAGCCATTATCAAGACCAAATACAGCGTCTGCATCGTTTCTAAGCCCCTAACTTGAGGAGAGAAGTCTTCTACCATTATTTTGGTATAATTGCATGGTATGCCTAGTGACCACTTTAGGTATAAGCTGTGATATAGCGCAGAGTCAGATTCTTGTTCTTCAAACTTTCAAATATCTAATTTATTTAATTAGTTTTTACCGCTCGTTATTATAAAGCAGTTCGCTTAATTAAGAGAGATGAGGTTTGCTTTTTCAGAACATCAAGCTTATAGAGTTTCTAATTGCCACATTAATTAAGATTCTTCTCAAATCAAAACTGCTTACAACATGGGAGTAGAGGGTCTTGATTGTTAGCAGTCCCTCAACAGTTAGATCGAAGCATCGTTCTCTATTTTTTCTGGTGCCCAGTAGTGTGAGATCCAAGGGCTCTCAGACATTACTTATTTTCCGAACGACAAAACTTGTCTTTTGAATGCGTCGAGGTCGTAAGCATAAATACTGTACTTACGCGTAAAAGTGTGAGGTGGACATTTTAAGATTGCGGATGTACGCTATTTTGGAAAGAACGCGTGACATCCCATTTTGGAGCTCCATAAGAACAATTCATAACCCAATAATATAAAATCACTACCTTTCAAAATGGCGAAATGGCAGGCTATCAAAGTTGACAGATTTTGTACATTGAGTCGCCTATAACTGAATAATCAAGCATCAAAACGCTATGTTATATTATTCTTCTTCTGGAGCGCGTTCAGATCAGACATAGGTTTGTATCTGGACGCGTCTCGTTCGTTCAGGTTGCTGGAGTTAAACTTCACATGTGACATTTCTACTTGAATGTCCAGATTCAACAAGCTGTCTGGAAACACCCCGAGATTATCCTCTATTGGCAGGGTTATTAGGTAAAAAACCTATATAATGTCAAAAAAACGACTGTGTCAGTTTCCAAGATACGAAATACCCATGCGGGTGACTAGACGTTTCGATCTGAACCAATTCAAATATATCAGAAGGAGACAAGCACATATGTTTACATTGCATTGTTACTTTTGACTTACTTGAGTACCAATCCCTACCAAGGTGACAGCATTTTATCAACACAATAATGATATTTACCTGTGGAAACATTTACCTTCATTAGGATTGTGTCGCTCTTTGTAAAAATGTGTGTGTTTACTTATGACAAATGCATTTTTATTCTCACTGCAGACTATGAGAATCAGGAAACAAATAGTTCCTTGACTCACCCTTTCCACCTAGTATGAATTCGATGATCTGAACGCTTTCCTGGAAAAGTCTATCAGAATATATAATGAAATATGAGACATTCCTTTGAACAAAATTGTAAAAATCTGTAATTCTTTGTTAAACCGTGTGCCCGACATTTTGTTGCACATTCAGTTATTCCCTACCAAAGGAGAGTATTAATTAATGTAACACCTGAAACTTATCCTGTGGTTTTCACGTTGATAGGACTTTATTTTCTGGCCGTTTATTCAAACCGCGTGTGCTTTAATTACCGTTTATTTTACGACGTTTCGGCCACCGGGATCAGAATTAAGGGACAGACAATGGAGTCCTTAGAATGATGAGATGACATTCTACTATACTATAACGTTACGATATTGAGCTATAAGCGACTCAATGTACAAAAAGTTCATCATCTTGAAATTATAGACTATTATCTTCACGTGAAAATAAAGTATCCATGTGTCAGTTTCATCTCCTAAATTTTATCTTGTTAACTCGACCCATTTGAAAAATAAGTAAGAGCGGAAACCTTCCTCGAAAGCACTGTCTGACTTTCAACGTCCGCGTACATGCTGGGTAGTGGTCCCATTTCCCGGTACCAGGTTAAGTAAAAATAATAGTAACTTCACTTGAAATCTAATGGCTGATTTTTATATATATTGAAAAGCATTATTATAAAATAATATTCAGCGCTGCCAGATACTTTCTACCATAGCTTCTGTCAAACGCCTTAAACAAAGTGCCCTGCTAAAATTGACCTCTCTTTAACTTGATTGTATGACGGGTTATAATAAAGATTGCATGAGAAACATCTATTAGACTCAACTTTTGTATAAAACATCTTTTCCTCCCTTCATATTCAGAACTTATGTGTATTTTGTATAGCTTCAATATCATCTTGAATTACTCTATGTCTCAGTATTTTTTATTCCTTGCTTCCATTTAATTTCATTAAATGTAACTGCACCTTTTCAGAAAATGTTGACATGCCGATCTGGTTTTGGATCGTTTGAAATTGTCTTTTATGTTGCTCGATTTTTCTAGGAGTAGCTTACGGTGAACAATAAGCAACGACGTCCATACAAGTAAGATGTATTTCACGAAGTTGCAAAAGTCTACCAATACTTACCCTCTTTTAACAAAATTGCTGAGGTACGTAATCACTGTTTTTGATATTTGTGCATCTGCATGGCTATAGTTGTGCGGAAAGAATGACCCACCTCCAATAATAGGTAATCCTAAAATGTAAGGAATATCTTCGCCTCGAACGCTGCCACTATTCTGGAAATAATAAAATTTGCATACAGAAATGCGAGATCTTTATTGATCTTCAAACTAGAACAAAAAGAAAAATGTAGAATGATAATAATTGACTTTGATTAACTTTTTAGGTTACATGAGACTTATAAAACGTCAGAACTGAGGTCAATTTAACTTCTTCGCTATGCATCTATCATTTGATTTTTTCCTTATCATCATCTTATTTTGTTGGATTACGTACAGACTTTTTGAATTCACAATGCCTTGGTTGAGAACGACTGAGAATAATTTGTAGGGAGTAACCACTAAGTGTGGAATAAATCACGTCACGCTTTTAAAATCGGAATAGTACTTCCGCCATATATATAAATGGTCGCCAGGTTGGAAAACGGCTCTTCAACAAACATATCTTCGCATCTAGAAATTTTTAACTTTTAATGTTTATCTTATTCCTTTTGTAAGGGACTACACATTCTTTGTATAATATTGTAGTTATTCATTTTTTATCTATTTGTATAGTTATTCAAATAATACTATTTTAAATGGGAAAATAATGCAGTTCAGGTGGAGTAAAGCACATTCTGAACAGCTATCAGTATTGTACCCACAAATACTAATATTACCACAAACTTGAAATAACAAACAATCTCTCAAAGCACAGGACCCTGCCACTAAGGTCACGTGTGTTTAACTTCGAGTCATTATTATGCACCTATAGGAATAGGTATATAAAAAGTCAGGGCATGCGACTTGTCATTTGTTCGCCATATTTAATAGAATGGCCTCCTAGTTGTGCAATAGTTATTGAACACATCTTCGTAACCGGTGAGCCGATTCTGATTATTTGAGCTCAATTAACTCATTTTTAAAGGAAAAATATATATTCTGATAAATCCCGTCGACATAGCTGTAGATAGCCCCAATAAATCATTCCAAGGTCGTCCAAATTAGGAAAGGGACATACCGACTAAAATTGGACCTCAATCGGACATTCCAGGAACCAAGTGTGCTGTAAGGGACCTAGATTTTGACATATTTACAATGTTATTTTAATTTTGTGGTAATATCAGCGAAACCTATCTTTAGTATTGGTCTATTGGTGAATACAATACCGGAAACTGGTTTTTAATCCATCTAAAAGGGAACATTAGTAAGACTACATATAAACTCAAAACGGTTTGATGTATAGGCAATATTTTTTACGAAGTCTACTAGGATCACTTGTTATCTGTTAACAACATTTATCAAATAAGTATCTGCAAAGTGGTCATCGACGGATTATAGGAATCAATCTGCGTACTAGAGGCCAGAGGTGTTTTAGTAGTTCACCTTCAGATAAAGTTTTACATTTGAATTCCAACAATATCCACACATTTTGAATTGTATTAGACCCTGGCGTAGGAATTCACTGAAATATTGAATAAATACTGCTTTTATACATGAATTCAAAAGTTTCTCATTCAGAACCAAAGACCAGAATTAAATCTCAACAAAGGCTCAATCGCTATTGGGTGAATCAATAAAGCGACCCTTTATTTACATTTAATTTTCCATTCAGAAGCTGAAATTGTATTTTTCTTACTTGCGGAAAATCTGTTGCATCATTATGATGCCTGAAGTGCAGAAAAAACGTCTTCCCTCCCGCAATCGAATGCAGATACCCAAGTCGTATTAGGGGTGCAGCCGTATGTCCATCGCTGAGTACGCTCAAAGTAGCATCCCGAACAGCTAACGGGTTCTGAGTCGGCCTTTCCCAGTCCGTGTACTCATTTTTTAATGTGGAGAAGATCTCATTCAGATGGAAGTAGTACGTGTTGCGAACGTAGGTGCGTAGGATGCGGTCACGTTTGGTCTCGTTGAAACCAAACTGCAAATCCTGCAAAAGAAGCAAGATAACACAGCTAAATTTCAAATGTGAATGAATATTTCGTCAATTGCCACTCAAAAAGTAATAAGTAAAAATAACTCTAATTCTAAGTTTTGTGGGAAGTCGTCTTGTAGGAAATCCATTAAGGTGCATTCTCACTTGAGCGAATCGAATCGAGGAGAAGCGTATTTGTTTTCCCGGGATAGTTTATGCGTAATCAAATAAAAAACAGCACATAGAAGAGATAGGAAGTCAATTTACGCGATGTTGTGGTTGCGACAAATCTCCGAGAACACCACCAATGTGCAGCTAGGCGAGGAGAAGCATTGATTTTTTGGGATCATCGAATGCGTGTGTGAAAATAATTTTGCATGTGTACAATTTTAAATGTCAAACTTTATGGTATGTCCAAGGCAGAAAGGATTTAAGTTTATACAGACTTCACCACACAATTAGATATTCAAAACAAGTTTTCTTTCAAAGGGTTAGTGTGATGAAAAGGCGCTTCATGTAAAGTCGAATTTAATCAAACATGTAATAGATGTTTGAAGAAAGTCAGTGGAAACTTTCATTTTTCTTATGGAGCAGTTAACTGGTGTAACCTTAACCGAGAAAATTTTTGTACGTATTGGTCATACTATGTAGAAAGATATAATTTGGTTGTCAGGTCAACCGTGCTTTAGATAAAAGAACATATGGAAGGTAGCGAAAGCGTGACATTAGGGTAGTCCAGGAGATATAGGTACAGCTATGTGCTTCAATGAACATCTGACGCTTTGAATGTTGATTAAAAGGTCGGAGAACCACTCAACTTCCTGGTGAGGATTGTCTCGGGCGAGTGCATAATAAGCATTTGCCCCTTGTAGGAATGAAATAAGGTTCTGTATGTTGTATACAGTGGGAAGAGGATGAGATGCCCTTTGATCTCTTAGTTTTCGCTCCACGATAACCCCATGCCTCGCCAATAGACGTCACTGCCCATATCTGGAGGGAACGCCAACGAGCAGTGTCTGAGCATGATGAATGACTTGCTGAATGACAAAAGTATGGGAATCTGTCTGTTCTTTATATTGAAAAAAGAATTAGCTTTTAATTACTTTTTGAAAAATGGAAACAGTCACATCTTCCATGGTTGGAGTATTTTTCAAAAGCTGTTACTCCGACAAGGTTTAAAATTTGATAAATCCTCAATTCCTGAAGCTATTCAGAAATCTCTAATAATATTCCTTTGGTAGTCAAATATTTGAAAACCTTTAAATTTTTGATTAATTATTGAAAAATGTATACTTAAACCTATAATTCCAAAGCGCAACGTTGTTACAAGGATGGGCACTGTAGTTCAATGAGTCTCTCAATTCAGATAGCCATGTACTCGATAGCTACTACTATATTGAGTATAATTTTTAACTCAGATCTGGTCATGTTTTCGAATAGGGTAGCGGCAGGAATCCGGAACGACGAGATGACAGCAATTTTCAAGGCCATTATCGAATTTTCTGTCACTTCGCTTAGCAGACGATGCCCAGTTGTCACGCAATAGAGCAATATCCGATATACCCATATACGCGTTTAATGTCTTTGGGAGAATCTTTCGCTGAGCTGACCGTCCGTAGTTTTTGTTTTTATATCGGTGTGTAGGATTTGAGAGTTTCTTAAGGAAGACGATATAGATTATTTCTCACTTCCCCAATCCCTATTTTGATTGCATATCAAAATACGCAAATAGGACTTATGTAACGAAACATTTTTTTTCAGATGTGTGGACACAGTCCCCAATTACATCTTGCCTATGAAACCAATGGGAAAAGACTGGAATTGAATAACCACGTCCAAAATCTATAGCTTATCTATAACATTGTGATTGAAAGTGTACATGGGACTAAAGTCCGGTCTGGAAACTCAGTCTTCGGTTAGATATGAGGCTCGAAATTCACAATGCCTCCTTTTAATATACACAGTGTGAGTTTTCAGCGTGGGCTCTGTCGATAACTCCATTATTACGCATGGTATCTAAAAGAGTCAAATACAAAAGTAGTAGTCTATGATATGTTTCTCACTCGGAAAATGGTTTTATCTCTACAGGGTGATTCGTAACTACCTGCTGACACTAACATACCTTTCTTTAATTGGATAGCGCTACATTTTATTTCGTATTTGGACAGGCCCTTTGAAACAAAGCAATTTTGATGTAAACTCTCCGTTAGGCTTCATTTCGAAATTTTTGAGGTGTTGGACAGTTTACGTATATTAGTTTTATTGTTTCACGTGATCACTACAGCCAAGTTGAATCATTGTAGTGTTTGTATACAAAACTTTCAATTGCAACTTTCAATTCAGTGATTTTTATGCTCTATGCCATCAATTTGTATGAGGTTCCTCAATTTTTCCGATGGCCCCGGTACTTTTGGCTACTTCAATTAGGATTAGTAATGCTATACGATATTTCGTGGAACAACACATGTATTTTCAGTATAGAAGTCGATAATGTGTGGGTATCATTTCCAACAGGATTATGCGACAATGGTGCCTACCTGTGCATTGAGGTCTAGAAATGACTCGACACTCGTGAGTCCGAACAGAAGATCTCTGTCTGGAAAATCTGCCAATTCCATTCCAGAAAATGTAGGTATTGACGATTGTGCAGGTCCGCTGGGTGTAGGAGGAATGCCGGTTGGATTGACCAGGATTGTGCCATCCACGAATGGGGCAAATCCTGAAACAAGGTAATTTATTAGTGATGATGACTGACTCAAATCCAAGTTACATTGAATTATTGCCAACCACTTTAACACATTCAAATTTGCTTTTGAGACGCCTACCTGAGATTTGTAGGCTACAAACTTGAAATGGGATAAGCTAGTTAACCAATTTGACTGGGAGATTCTCACTCATTTTTAAATTCTGTAGGCATTTTTGATTTTATTTACACTTCCCTTAATTTCTCAGAAGACAATAAAAACTCATTTGCAGGCAAACCAGCATTAAATTATTTTTTAGAGTCATTAAGCCGTTTGAGCTTCTAAAGAAATCAGTGTTTGAATGACTAATCATATTAATCATATTTTATTGCTTATTATTGAAAATTACACTGGAATATTGCCTTATTAACATGTCACATGTTTTAATTTTGCATGTTTTGATACAATGAAGATACATGTGGAGAGTCTGGGCAAGCGAACACACAAGCAAAATCTTATTTTCCGTTTGACACCCAAACCACGAATCCGTCATTGTGAAAAAGT